CGATGTGAGAGATGGAATTTTCTCGCAAATGCGTTTGCCATATCCGTGTTGTTTGGTTAAGAGAAGAAATTCTTCTCGATTATCCATATGGGTTTCAATGTGAAACCCATTTTGACGGATATATCTATAACTTAGTAGGGTACGAGTTGAATCGGGATACAATAAAGCATCCTCGATTGTAATTTGTGTACCCATTGGAAGTGTAATAATTGCTCGTCCTGAGCCAACTATCACAGTATCGCGCCCAGCGATAGTCAAAACGTTGCCTTCTCTCTTTTTGAGAGTTTGAAAGTATTTGATCTCCCTAAGTATAGAGTTTGTGGTATCACTGTCCAAAAGACATAATTCCTCTCCAATCGGAGCGATATCCTTAGACATCTATAATGAAAGAAGAATTACTTGATTAAGAATTCTTTATCCAATATATATACATACATACAATAATTAAAACATCAGATACATAGTATGATGTTTACATATGTTAATAGTACATACTCTAATGACTAGCAAGCCATACAACCTTACAATATAAGGGAGTTCATACTTATCTACTTATTACAACCAATATTGTTTGGCAAACTTATAGGATATCAATATACTATTTCAAGCACATTGAGATAAGAGCAGCTTCATCTCCAAGTGGGACGCACCGAGATCATTGCAAATCTCCAAGTGGGTCCGTTGAGCAGTATTCGATGAACATATCGTCCATCGCAGAGAGTGGAGCGACATCTTCTGGGACAACATTGAGGTTGCTCTCTGGTTGAACAGGAGCCTGGTGAGAACTTGCAACCTCAGGGCGCTCTTTATGTGTAAGATTGAAGTGGGCTTCAAATCTTGGGTTCTCAGAAGATTTTTTGTCCTTGAGGGATTTTTGGTACAAGAGAAACAAGATATTTCGGGATGCGGCAGTCTTTAGCGACATGAGTGTCAGATCCACACCTGTTGCAATGCTTGTTGCCATTGCTACGAGGTTGTGGTGCCTTACCCTTCCCTTTTCCTTTCTTTCAACCCTTGAATTTGCGCCTGTTGTTGTTGCGTTTGCGCTTTCCAGTCAGATTCTTAGGATTATTTGAAGAATTTCCCTTGAATCCTTTCTTATTCTCAGCATTATTCTGTACATTGAAGTGCACCTCAGGTAGTGGAGCAGAGCCCGGTGGGCGCTGTTGGGCATTCTTTAAAGAAAGCTCATGGTGTCTTTCTGCCTGAGTCAATGTATGTATAAGCAGAGAACGTTTCTGGAAATTGTTAGCGTGATACTGTTGAGTCGGTATCCTGTCCTCCGGAAGCATAGTTGATAGAGTTTTCTCTATCTTCTCTGCCTCAGTTGGCTCTTGTTCGCAAAACTTCAACCTGGAACAAATGTTATGAACAACATGGTTGTATTATGCCACAGTTTTAAAGTCCTGTAGGCGTAAATGAACCCACTCATAATTAGCCTCAAGCCAAATGAGTTCCTTTTGCTGATCATAGCGCTCTTTTAGAGCTTTCCAAAGGTTGAGAGGGCTCGTCTCTAACATGTATTAATGTTTAAGATCCTTGTGAATGTAGAGTCTCAAAAGAAAAAGGGATGTATTGAGCTTCCTAGGCTCAATTTCCGGGTCCCCATCATTGGGTTCCTCAATTGTATTTAAAATCCCCCGAGAGGCAAAATTGATTTTGATATCAGAAGACCATATGGGATAGTTAGTCCCATCGAGGGCGAGTTCGTCGAACTCTTTTGTTGCCATGTCCCTACAATCATGGTTAACATTATCAATTTACAGAGGTAAATTAATAAAAACATGATATTAAGGTTGTAATCTCAATGCGAAATGTAAGACTTCATATTTTGTAATGTTTCGAAAAAAAATGCAGGTAATGGACCTGACAATTTGAGTTAGAATTCGAAATTAGGTGGCACAATGTGGATAATCTCCAAGTAATTAAACAGTGGAGTAGATCTCTTAATAGTGGGCAAGTTATACTTGCTGCCTAAAACACGGTCTCCAGGCAAATATATTCTGTTGAATATACCACAACCAATGTTTAGGACTCCACTACCTTGTGCTCAACCAAAATTCAAATAATCTCATTTTTCAAAACTTATTCTTGGAAAATAACACATGTGGGTAATCATCATGAGATGTAGACCTCTGTGAGATGGGCAAGGTGCTCGTTGCCTAGGTTATGACCAGTGCGGCCAATTTGTAGGACTCCATCGGGTAATCATCTCAAAATGTAGACCACTTGATGATGGGCGAGATACTCGCTGCCTAAGTTATGGTCGATATGACCAAAGTATAGGGCTCCATCGACATGTGATTAATTTCCGAGTCAAAATGTGAAGTGGAACATGCATTAAATCCTCCATTAATCATGTTGTACATAATTAAGAGAATTTACTAAATCAAAGTACAAAATTTATAGAATTTTGTAAATTAATAAAGCGAGAAAGTAGAGCATGTCTTGAAATAAAATGCAAAAGACATGTTATTAAGACAATAAATTTAGTGAAACAGGGTATTTGAATAAACACCTATGTTAATTAACACATAACATCAGCGGTCTGTAGGACCATTACATAATTACTTGTACAACTAATGAACTATTTCGACTAAATTATATAAAACACAAGGGACTAAAACGAAATTGCTGCTAAATTAGTAATTAAAACTAAAATTAAATGATAAATTGGGTGGTGGGCCGAAATTTAAAGGATTCGGCCCACCACCGTGTGGCACTAGGCCGGCAGGCAAGGGGGGCGGTGGGCCGGCCCATCCGGCCCACAGCAAAAGGCAGGGGGGAGCCGCCGGGGGTGTTAGGGTTAACCCTAACCGCCCCCACGATTTCGCCGCCGCCGCCGTTTTTGCCGCTCACGCCCCCGCCCTTTTCGCCGCCCACCGCCGCCATTTCGCCGCCGACCGCTGCCAGTTCGCCGCTAACGACGCCGCCGTGGATCGCCAACGACGCCGCCGAGGGAGTGCCGAGGGTGGCGCCGCCCTTCCTCCGTCGCCGCCGCACCATCTGCCGCCGCCATCTCCCAGTTGCAGCGCCGACGCGTGATGCGCCGGCGTTGCTGCCTCCATATCCGCCGTTGTCCACCACTGCCTGCATCCACAATCCGCCACCCACCGCTGTCGCCATCCACCATCCACTGCCGCCACGGCCACCTCTTCGTCCGCCGGCGGTTTGCCGGCCGGATTAGGCCGACGGCTCCCGATCCTCATCGGAATCGGAGGCCGGCCGAGCCCGGACACCATTCCCCGGCACCCCGTTAGGGAGTGTACGGCTAGGAGAGCCATGAGGAACGACGATGAAGGTGTGGTGGAGGCCGGGACGGCGAGCGGCGGCTTCACCGGCATGACGATGAGACGAGGACGGATTGAAGAAGGGCGGCTCCCTCGTGCGCGCAGCCAGGGTACCGGTCCCGCCGGACCCCGGTGACGCGGGAATGGGGGAACGGCGTTGGAGTCAACTTGGTGTCGGTGGAAGTGGTGAAGGAGCGGTCGGTGGTGGCGGCAGCGACTCCATCTCCGGGGAAAGATCGCATGGCTCGCCGGGCAGTGTCACCACTGCTGTCCATCCGTGGTAGGCGCAGTACTGCACCCCCTGCACACAGATACGGCGAGGCACGACGGCAATCGGAGACGGAGGCGAAGGAGGAGCAACCGGAGTAGTGGCCACCACGATGCGTCGGCGAGGGTGGTGGCGACGGGCACCAGCCCTAGCCCGACGTTCATGGTGTTGGTGGCGACCGTGGTGGTGGCGGCGACTCCTCTCCCATCGACGGAGAAGATGGCGAAGGCGACGGACGCGCTGATTGCGAGAGAGGCCGAGAACGGCATCCATAATCCAATGAAAGGTAGGCATCGTACCTTCTTTGTTGATTCTTCTGTTCGCTTTTCTGTTAGATCAAAAGCGATGTTTCTTCCTTCTTTCACTTCGCGATCTCCTTCGCGAGAGCGAAAGTGCTAATAACATGTTAAAAGTGAATAAGATTGATTGAGCGAGAGGGATTGAGCGAGAGAGAGAGAGAATTGCACAAGAATGTAGGGAATGAATGAGCGGAATCCTTTATTGATCAATGCGGTACAATATATAGATGGGGAAGGGGTGGCAACCGGAGACACGATGGTTGGGAACCATCGCGTCTGTTGCCAAGGAGCGCCTAAGGAAGGCGCGGTTGCCTTCGGTTGTGATCCATCCTTTTATATGGATGATATCACCCTGTTGTTTCATAACAGATCCAAATGAAAAAAACACCTTCGAGCAATAAAGAAGACGCCCTACTTTGACTGATAGTTTAGGTGTTTAACCTTCACCCATTCCTTAAACTTGGGTGTTTAATGAGTTAATTACACCCTCTAACAAGGCTTTTAAAAACACCACCACTCCGCGAATCAAGTTCTAAACGTCTAAGCTGAGCTAGTGTTTTACGCCTTCAGAAAAGGTTTACGTAGGACCTGTTTGACACAGCTTCAGCTCCAACCCTCCTGGAGTTGGAGCTCAGCCAAATAGTTTCAACTCCACCAAAACTGGGAGTGGAGCTGGGTTGAGCTATCTCACGAAATAAACTAGAGTTGTGGAGCTGGATTTAGGCAGCTCCACAACTCCACATTAGACCTAACTCCTATACCAAACAGGTCCGTACTACCATTATCCGCCTTCTCGCTGTACTGGCAACCGTATACCTGAAGGTAACACAGGTTATACAGCACAAAAACCGTGTTGTTAATTTCGCAATTACCCCCTTAAAAAAATCCGTTGACTGAATCGGAACGTGATTAGCGAAAGCGTTAACGCACCCCACCAACTTCCTCCCGTTCCCCACCGAATCGACGAATCCTACCCGTCCATCCCATCCGCCAGACAGAACGGACGGCCCAGATCGAACCAAAATTTCCCCAATCCAACCCTTTCGCCACGAAGCATCCTCCTCGCTGTCTCGGAGTCACGCGAGAATGAGAGAAAAAAAATCATGAAAATTAGGTGGAAAAATTAAGAAACAAAAACCCGTAAAAATCACCAAACACACGCAGCCACCGACCGACCGATCGAAGGACCCCTCCTCCGCCGACGTAAGCAGCGGGGGGCTCCCAGATCTCGCCGGCGGCGGCTGCGGCGGCGGCGGAGGCGGAGGCGGAGGGGGAAGGGGGGAGATGGCGCTGAACATGAAGACGCTGACGCAGGCGCTGGCGAAGGCGTCGGCGGTGATCGAGAAGACGGTGACGACGACGGTGCAGGAGGTGACGGGGCCGCGGCCGCTGCAGGACTTCGAGCTGCTCGAGCAGGCCGGGTCGGGGGGCCCCGGCCTCGCATGGCGGATCTACACGGCGCGGCCGCGGGAGGGGGCGCCGTCCGCGCCCTACCCGGTGGTCTCCGTCTGGGTGCTCGACAAGCGGGCGCTCGCCGAGGCGCGGGCGCGGGCGGGGCTCACCAAGGCCGCCGAGGACGCCTTCCTCGACCTCGCCCGCGCCGACGCCGCGCGGCTCGTGCGCCTCCGGCACCCCGGGGTGCTCCACGTCGTCCAGGCGCTGGACGAGACCAAGGCCGCCATGGCCATGGCCACCGAGCCGGTGTTCGCGTCCGTCGCCAACGCGCTCGGCTGCCTCGACAACGTCGGCAAGGTGCCCAAGGAGCTCAAGGGCATGGTACGGAGCGATGCTGCCTCGCTTATTTTTTGTTAGGTTTCCGTGTGCCTAGATGTCCACTTTGGCGATTGCTAGTAATTAGCCGCTCTAGAGTCCACAAGATCTGTGATTTGGTTTATTTTGGGCATGGGATGTTTGCTAGCTCAAAAGTTCCTTCTAATTAACATGTTGAAGTGATTAGTGTTACTGACAGTGGTAAACTGGCAACTGTACCATTTGTGAGTTGGGATATATTTAGTAACATTATCTAGATTTGTGCGTTAGAACATAATTTGAGCTGAAAATTGACATAAGGCTTTGTCTTTTGTATGCAACACTTTGCAGTGCCATATCCAGAAAATTCATTAAATGGGATCATTGGTACTTATAAACATTTGCAGCGAGCTTTCTTTGCAGTTAACTTTCTAATGCAATCAATCTGTCTGAAATCTGCCAAGTTTCCTGGGAAGGCATATAAATTGTTACGTGGTACTTAGAATACATTCATTTACAAAAAGTGCCGTGGGTTCTATAAAGCATGACGATGTGTTTCAGCTGTACTGAGATTTGCTTGTTTATTGTTATGTTTCAGGAAATGGGGCTACTGGAGGTTAAACACGGGTTGCTACAAGTCTCAGAGACACTAGACTTTCTTCATAACAATGCCCATCTTGCCCATCGAGCTATATCACCCGAGGTTGAATGCAGCACATTCTTCAACTCATAGTTTCTGCACGAATGTTTCATGTTATGGATGTGCTTTGTCATAAATCTGTTAGAATCCTTTTTCATTTTACCTGTTTTATTTACTTTAGTTAGTTTCTCAAGTTTTCTAGTACAACAATATAATGTTCTTTGCCTTGGAGTTGTCTCTGATGAATGCTTAGCCAAGTCCATTCATATCATGCTGTGATCTAGGCTAGCCGCTCAATTTTATCATGCTGTTTTTTGCGCACTTAACTATGCATGAAATGAGTTCAAAAGAATCTGCTGCACGAACTGGTGTTGCGGGAACACATAATCTAACACTGCCTGCCAATGATCATGCATATACTAGTTAATTTTTGAATCTGTGATTTCCCCTGCTCTTGCATAATGCATTTAGCCTATTTGGTCTTCATCTGCAAGTCTTATGTTCTGTCGTTGTAATAATTTGATTTCTTTTGCAGACGGTCTTTATAACTTTGAATGGATCTTGGAAACTTGGTGGGTTTGGTTTTGCTCTTTCTGTTGACCAAGCCACAGGCAGTTTGACATCAACACAGCAATTCCACTATTCGGTTAGTAAGTAATTTATGCTTAGTTGTGCATTATGTGATAGCTTTTAAGCTGTGTATTTGTTTTACCATTTTGGATACACTAACTAATTGGAGCAATAGCATAAATATTTCTACTATAATTGATAAAGATTCTCTTAGCTGACCTGATTGCACTCCATGATAAAGCACATAATTCTTCTTGCTCTTTTTTGTTTAACTCATCAAGCATGTACAGCTACTGTTATCTGAGTTATTTCCACATTCAATGGAAGTGCTTTTCTTTATAATGGCACAAATCATTTCCTACTTAAGTACTTAGCAGTGAACAAGTAAACATTATTTACAACTTGGCTTCCCCTGTAATTATTTTTGCTAACACTGTTTGTCAATGTAATTAGCTGTTTGTGGAACCTGCTTTCTAATACCCATCATTGTGTCATTTTCACAATTTGAATCATAATCTATTTGTCTGTTTGGTCCCTCTAAAGGACTATGATGTTGAGGATACAGCTTTACCTCTTCAACCATCTCTGAATTATACTGCACCAGAATTGGTCCGAAGTGGAGATTCTAAAGTTGGCTCGGCTTGTGACATATTTAGTTTTGGATGTCTAGCTTATCACCTGGTTGCTCGTAGACCACTTCTGGATTGCCATAACAATGTGAAAATGGTATGTCTTGAATCTGGATTTTGACATTTTACCTATTCTTAATGCTTTTTTTTTTGAATTTTAATTACCTGATCTCTGAACTGCTGTTGGTACATGTATGTAGTTTCCCTTTGGTATGCAAACAAACCATCTGTTAAGGAATTAAGGTTGCATCTGCTGCAATGTTAGCATTTTTAAAGATGTGTTGATGTTTCATTTTGTTTTGCAGTATATGAATTCCTTGACGTATTTAACAAGTGAAGCCTTTTCTAATATTCCTGCTGATTTAGTGGTGGATTTGCAAAGGATGCTATCAGTTGATGTAGCATCACGCCCTAGTGCTATGGCGTTCACAGGTAAATTATCACTTATCATTTCTTTATCTTGGGCATAAGATCTTCCAGAATGGAGTTTTTGGATGTTCTATTTGATTGGAGATCACCAGGTTACCTATACTTACATGAAATTCTTTTGAAATGTTGCACCTTCTGTCTGATAGGCTCTTCCTTCTTCCGGAATGATACGCGGTTGCGTGCTCTTCGTTTCCTTGACCATTTGCTTGTATGTGTCTATTACTCCAGTTTCTTTTCACAGATAAGTTAGTTGCTTGTTTCATATATATGCATATCATAGCTTGCTTATTTTCTATCTGAGAATCTCGTTTGCCTGGCTTAAGTTTCAATTGTACGTGGGAAGACAGAACTAGGAGCTTTATCTGCTTGACTGTTGTTTGTCTAAACAGACAACATACTAATTTGTTACCTAGAAATGGTTATAATCTTGATCCAATATCGTCTTCAGGAGAGAGACAATATGCAGAAGACGGAGTTTCTGAAGGCATTATCGGATATGTGGAAGGACTTCGATTCCCGAGTTCTTCGGTATAAAGTATGAGCAATCCATTATCTCCACTTTTCATATCAAGTGTGGTCTTATGAAATTATGGCCACATTTTCTTGGTTTGTGTGCTGCTTCATAGAAGATGTTAGAACCTGCTAATTATCTAATTATTCCATGTTACTTATTCCCAGTTGTCTGATAAGTATTTTTGCATCGACAGCTATACTATACTCATAAAATTAACAGGAAGTCCATCTTAAATTTTCAATTCAATATCATTGCCCAATTCTTTGTGCTATTGAGCTTATCAAGATCACATAGCAAAATTTCAGTGTGTTCTAGTTATTTTGCCAAAAAAAAAAATGTTGAGACACTGAGAACTATTGGTTGTAATATTGAAAATAAAAAGATAACATATACACACCTCAATGTTCTAACTTCCATTCCTTTATTACATAGGTGAATCACGCCTCCTGTTTGCTTTTAGAGAGGAATCACTTTTGTTGATCCTTCTATTAGCATTATCACTTTCCTTTTTTGTCCTTATCTACAGTTTTGATTCAATGAATCAATGAGAAAAATCCAAGAAATGCCATTGACAAACACCCAAATCCAAGAAATTCCATCAATGAGTGCGAGTTCCATAAAATGCCATCGTACAAACGATTTTATCTCAGAAATACCATCGCTGTTAGGGTTCCCCCAATCCCGCGCCGTTAAGTGCACTGTTCATCCTTAGCACTTAACGGAGGGCTGCTAATGGAACCCTAACGGCAATGGCATTTTTGGGACAAAGTTGCTTGTATGATGGCATTTCATGGAACTTGTACTTGATGACATTTCTTGAAATTGAGTGCTTGTCAATGGCATTTCTTGGATTTTCTATTAATGTATTGAATTTGCGCAACTTACTTATGTTTGCATATGTGTGCATGCGAATTCTTTCTATCGGAAGGAAAAAAAATGCTGATTCACAATGTTACTTAATATATTGACTATCTGTAAGCTGACTCTGTTTGCAACCAGGTTCTTCCACCTCTCTGTGCTGAGTTACGCAACATGGTCATGCAGCCAATGATTTTGCCCATGGTTCTAACAATAGCGGAATCTCAGGTCATGTTCCTTGTGTTTTACGAATACCTTTTTCTTAAATATTTTATGAATTATATTCTTTGTTCAATGATAGTAAGAACTTATCTCACTGATTGTTAACTAATGGGATGATACCATGGTTCTGTAATACCACTTTGCATAATGTGAAGTATCATATTTTATTTGACTGTTTTTCATCTGAACTTGCTTTTGACTGGAGTAAGTCCAATTTAATGTGGTTGTATCATTCTTGCTGCAACACAGAGTCATCCACAGTACTAACACTCGAACATTGTTATTTGTTTGTTATGCTTCAATTTCGTGAGTTCATAGAGTTTGTAAAGTGAAATACATTTAAAGCTATGTTATATGGTAATGTTTCTTTATGATGCAAATGCTATAATTTTTTTTTCTGAAAATTTGTTCTCTGCTCTCTGGCAGGACAAAGGTGATTTTGAGCTTTCAACACTGCCGGCCCTTGTTCCGGTATTTACTTCAGCGTCAGGTGAAACACTTCTTTTGCTCGTGAAGCATGCGGATCTTATTATTCACAAGGTAACTAAGTTACTTTTATAAATACTGCACTGATTCATTGTTTTTGTTTTTGCTCTTTTTATCTCTATAGTAAATGCAATTATAATCTAAATTCACAATGGTACCAACACAATAGTTGTAATTACTGGAATTTTCCATGGCCAGATGACCTAATCAATTTCTTTACCATGCTTCTCTTTTCAGGCCACACAAGAGCATTTGATATCACATGTCCTTCCTATGCTGGTACGGGCTTATGATGACACTGATCCCCGACTACAGGAAGAAGTACTGCGACGGACAGTGCCATTGTCTCGTCAGCTTGACGTGAAGGTTAGCATTGAAATATATTCTTAAAATGAGGATAAACTATATACTGTAGCTTCATTTTCTCCATCACAATTGAGAAAGCCACTATCTTTGCCTCTCGTTGAGTAAGGGCTCACTTGACAAATTAACTTCACAATGACAAAAGAATCAACAATTCCACATGAACCATTTTTGTACTCACTCAGTGATTTCTTCTTGCAGCTACTGAAACAGTCTGTTCTGCCACGCGTACATGGATTAGCCTTAAAGACTACAGTTGCTGCGGTATGCATAATACATGTTTTAGTTTTATAATTTGGGTACTTTATGTGTCAGATTGTACCATATTAATACACATTAAAACACACAAATAGCATGTATGATGAAACAACTTTTTTTTTAAAAAAGAATAATTAAAAGGGAAAACTCCTGTCTCGTTTGCACATAAAATAAATAAACAGAAATATAAGAGCCATGAGATGTTGAGTGTATGGTTTTTCTATGTAGCTACTCCATCCTATAGCTTGTTATTGATCAAGAGTGTTAAGATCTTAGATGTTAGTGTCACTATAGTGCTATTATATAATTCTTCTGTATTTTATCACCCCCTATTATAATCCCGCCTAATTACCAGGAAGGCAGCCTTCTGTACCTTATATTATTTTGTGTTTTATGTTTCTTTGTTCTGATCTTGATTTTGAATTGTGACTTGAAAATATAGGTGCGTGTAAATGCCTTGCGCTGTTTAGGGGATCTTGTTCCATCTTTGGATAAAGAAGGCATACTGGAGATCTTGCAAACTCTTCGGCGTTGTACAGCTGTTGACCACACCGCACCAACACTTATGTGCACCCTTGGAGTGGCTAATGCAATTTTTAAACAGGTTTGTTCTTGATATAGTTTGTTTCAGTATTGCTAAATCATGAACAATTATTTTTTATGCCAATTGATTTTTCCTTGTAAAAGATATCTTATTTTACTCATTTGCCAATGATCCAGTGTGGTGTTGAGTTTGCTGCGGAGTACGTGATTCCTCTCGTCTTCCCACTGCTCACAGCACATCAACTGAATGTACAGCAATTTGCTAAGTACATACTATTTGTCAAGGATATCACAAGGTACCTTTTGTCCCACCACACTTGCGATGCGTTAATCAATATGCCAACTAAATTAGTGCCTACTTCTACAGCAAGATTGAGGAGAAGCGTGGTGTGACTGTTACAGATAATGGGAATACAGAGGTAAAAGTATCACCCTCATTGGCTAATGGGATTCATTCTGAGCCATTGTCACGAGGTGTGGGACAAACTGAACAGATACAAACTGCAAAGGGTGCTGCATGGGATGAGGACTGGGGCCCTACTAAGAAAGCAAGCACTCCATCACAGTCATCTGATTCCAATGCACGGATGAAGCAACCATCAGACCCTTTTGATTTCAGCACTCAAACAAAGCAACCCTCGGCACTTCCTTTTGATTTCAGTACTCAACAACCTAAGCCATCATCTGCAATCCCGCAAGTGACACCAGCTACAATTTCGCCTGCACCATCACTTCCATCACTGCAATCTCTTGCACCAAGCTCTGGACCCCAAACTTCTGGTTCATGTGTTCCTGTTGACATTGAGTGGCCTCCTAGAAAAAACACATCGTCTGACTTTAATGCACCATTATCTGTTAGTGAGCAAAGTAAATCTGGAGGGCTATCTAGTGATGGTCTTGCTGATATTGATCCTTTTGCCGACTGGCCCCCAAAAGCAAGCAGTGGTGCCAGCATTTTAGCTGTTGGACACCTGTCAAGCACAAGCCAAAGTATTTCTGGACTAAGTACAGGAAATATTGGGTTCAGTGGCAACAGTGGTTCTCTGGGACAAATGAAAACCAACCAAATGAGCTGGTCAGCGAAACCGAACACTACTAATTTAATGGCCGTGAACTCAACAGGCAATTACTTGAATCAGGGCAACTCAGCTCTTGGATTTGGAAATCCAATTGGAGGACGGAGTACAGGGTCATTGTCAAGCAGCACAACACAGGGTCCACCCAGGCTTGCTCCTCCTCCATCTGCTTCTGTTGGAAGAGGGCGTGGTAGAAATCAAGGGCAATCGGCACTTTCACGAGCATCACGTACTCCTCATTCCAATGTTTCATCAGAGCAGCCACCTATTCTAGATTTACTGTAGCAATTGAGGGCCCTCTATCTTCGTTTTGCAAATGTTGAAGTTCCTATATGGTGAGCATCATGCCTTTTTTCTTCCCAACCTGCTTGCGGCAGTAGTGTATTTACATGTCAGTTTTGCAAACTGGATGGTCTGAGACTGAGGCCCCCAAATGAAGCTGCTTCAGAGCCTTCCAGAGGTTACAGAATGTTCCCTTTCTCAGGAGTCAGGATGTCTTCTTCCACACTTGGTCCTAGTTGGACAGGCGAAACAGGAGAAATTCTATTTGTGTATAATATATTTGTTCAGACGGCTGTAGATTGTAGAGTTCATGAATACAGTCAACATGTTTGTTGGGATGTTTTGAATGCCCAGAATGTGCCACCACTCCACCAGGTTTAATGGGCCTCGTGCAAATGGACCCAAGGCGATTTACTCAGATACTCCCCTCCCCTACATGTAATTCATTTATTCTGTGAAGGCCCCATGTTGTGTAGTCCAGAAGTATAGGCCCATCAACACAACAGTAACCGTTGTCGATAGAAACCCGTGTCTTCTGTGAATTGTGATTAAAGTTGTTGAGGGTGAACGTGCATTTCTTTTTTTTGGGTCAGGTCACCACCTTGACCATTAGTTTTCCATAGCTTATTCTTCTTGGTGTCAAGTGCCCATGTTAGTGCTAAAACACTCTTCTCGTGTAGACAGACTAGCTTTGTTTTGGAAGCTAGAGATTTTAAGTAGTTAATAAATATACAACTAGATGAGAATTTAGAATTCTGGGTACTAGTTTATTTTCTAAGGGCTTATTCGGTTTGGTGGAATTTTAACTCATAGGAACATGATAAATGGAGGAATAGAAATGCATGTACACTTTAATCCATAGGAATTTTCCAAGAGATTTGAATGGATGGAAAATTTTGTTCTCTCTTTTACAACTTGTTGGAAGGGGATATTTTCTCCTTTTTTTTCAAGGGACAAAGGGGAGGATTTTCTTTGGTTTTCTACACATAGAGATTAATCCTTATGAATTCAAATCCTTTGGTTTTCCTCCAAATCGAACAAGCCATAGTTCCTGTAATAACTATTGAGTTGGAGAATCAAGAGTTATGATCTGAATTGTTTGGGAGAGCCTGAGATTTTGAGTTGTTGCATCTACCAGAAGTAGAAGATCCCCAAACAGGAGCTATACCCGACTGTAGCCAACCATTATGTTTTTACTTGGTCCATGGACTTGATATCACGGAGCATCCGTCCATCGATGAACCATGTGAAACATTTCAGCCACATCAGAATGCACACACACTAGCGACTTAGCGAGCAGCTGGGAGCTGGCTGGCTGGCCTTCAAACTCCACTGTGACGGTCGCTCCATCCAACCATATGCATGCTCGGGGTCAACATCCATCCGGCCGGCGTGCTCCCATCTCCATCATGCCCTATGTGTCCTCCCATCCCATGATGGCCTCACCCTCAGAGCAGGTACAATAGCAGGCTATAAGCCAGCTGCAGACATATTTTAAAGAGATAAGTGAGAAGAGATAAAAGCAGCGGGCTACAAATTTGTAGCCAGCTATAGCACGGACTTTAAAGCGCAGTGTGTATGACAGATGAGACCATATATTAATAGTGTAGTATGTAACTATAGTATGAATGAGTTATTAGATTAGCTATAGATGAATTGGAGCTAGTAGTTGACTATACTATTATTAAACTTGCTTTCACTACCCTCTTGCTCGATCGGTAGCCTGGGGGTGGCTAAAAGATGGGCGCATCGTTTGCTACACACGAGCCCGTGCGACCCCTCCAAACTGCAAGGCGAAGGCGACTACGCATTGATTGTGATATGGTGGCTCTTGTAGCCGGGGAGGGCAAGGCGCGGCGGGATAGGCCGCGAGCAACCGGCATGGGTAGCCTCCTGATCGGGGGAATACTGCGAGATAGGGTGCAAAGCGGATGGATGGATGGATCATGGCGTGCCGTGCATGTGATCACATTCATGGTGGGGGGTAACGGATGAAAAAAGTAAAGGCAACGCACACGCATGCATATGCATGGATTTTCTCTATAAAAAAAAAGTCTAGTGCAAATGTGATTTTATGTAAGACAATGAATCTGGACAATCTTTTATCATATCCTCACGTAGATTTATTTTTGTGAGATAAAGGGAGTACCTATGGATAGGACTATAGGTGTAGTGTTTCCTTGTGCAGTACAACGAATCTCGGTTAATGGTTTTCTGCTGATCTCTAAACGATGTGGTAGTACTTTGTAATTAACCACCTCATCATTAGATAAATATATATAAGTTTGTTTAGGTAGGGATGAAAGATTCCTTTTTGTCATGTCATTGGTCAAATTCTAAACTTTGAATTGTTTGGATTCGTCTCCTAATAAGCACTTGCTGGGCCAAAAACACATTGATTTACTTGGAATTAGTTTCCCAAGAATACTAATATTGCGTAGTTTGAGAACGGATGAATATCTTGTTTGGTTTGCTATCATTTTGAACCCTATAAAATTATTTGAAACGAAAAAATTTGGTAAGTGACAACCTGAATATACATATATAAATATTGCTGCTCTAAAAAAAAGTAGTTCCGGAAGTTTTCACTCAAATATTATAGAAATATGGCAAGACTTCAAATCAAGCGCATTGATCACAACACTGCCAAAATTTGGTACTCCACATAAATGTATGAACATCTAGAGCTTAAAATTTCTTTAAGAACTAGCAAACATGTCCGTGTGTTGTAACGGGTGAAAAAACTAATGATAACATACGTTTTACATGTATAACCATGTCGATGACAAACAAAAAATTAGAACATCTTAAATGTAATGGCCCAACCTCGATGATGGCAACCTTACCGATGTCTGCTTTATCTAAAATAATTGGATTATTCATATTTGCTTTACTTAAAGTAATTGGATTGTTCATATGACAACATGCATATAATCTAAAATATTCTTTTAAACTCATTCTTGCAACCAATCAAATTCTAGACTGCCTCGCATGGTCAAGTCTACATAAAATAGAGTCATAAACTGTGCACTATTCTCTAAATAACAATTAAATTATGTTTATTTTCTAATATTATTTTTATATAATATGTTATCAAGAATAGTAGCTATTCTTCATAAAAATAGTCTGATAATTGCCTACAGAGATGTGCAGGGTCTCCAATACAGGAGAATAGATGACGAAACAAAAAGCAGTGTAGGAGATGGAAAAAATCGATGATCCTATATGACCAAGCATCCATCAATTTAGCTTTTTTTCTGACAGTTTTTTCCTCGTATGTTTTTTTTCTTTTTTTTCAGACGATGGAAATATTTTCTCATATGTTTTTTTGACTACGGAAACCTTTTTCTCTAGCGCGTTTTCTTTTGCGCTTTTTTCTAACATTTCATTTTTTAAACCATTTTTATTTTCTCGTACATTTTTCTTTTTTAATATATGATGGAAACTTCTTTTAAATAGTTAGATTAGATTAAATTAGAGATAGATAAGAGATATATATGGACTACTAAAACTGCGAATAGAAATTAGACTTTTTTTTGCCGCGCTTTTTTCCGCCCTTTTTATTTTTTCCTCGTGCGTTTTTTTACGAACGTTTTTTTTGCCACTCTCTTATAGAGTCTGACCTTTCTATATGTTTTTTGGTTTTTTTTATTTTTTGCGGATTTTTTTTGTTTTTCGCTTTGTAGGAATCGGACTTTTTTTTCCCGTTGTGGGAATCGGATCTACATTTGTTTTCTCTTTTTTTTTTGCCAGGAAACGGATTTTTTTTCCGTTTAGGTGGGAATCAGATATATTTTTTCCATCTACGTTTCTTTTTTTTCGCCAGGTATCGGACTTTTTTTCCTGTTTTAGGTGGGAATCGGATCTTTTTTTTTCGCTAGGGAATCGGATTTTTTTAGTTGTTTTTTCGCTGTTTTTTTTATGTTGACGGACGACGGAAACATGTTAAATTTTTTAAGTAGTAGAGATATAAGAGTATCACCGCCTACTTTCTCATTTGAGGCCTATTTGTTTTAGAGGAATTTCAAAGAATTTAGATTCCTAAGGAATAATTCGTATGAATGTCATTTGGTTCATACGAATGTAGATATAGGAAAACCAAAAAAAAATTTTCTTCCCTACAAGTTACAAAGAGAAAACAAAAGGAAATTTTCCATCTACACAAACTTTATGGAAAAATTCCTATGAATTGAAGTGTGCATGTATTTCTATTCCTATGTGCTGAAGTTCCTCTAAAATGGATAGGCCCTTCAACCAGCTATTTCTTATTTAATTTTTCCTCATCTGCTTCCTAATCTCAACCATTGACCACAATCCCTCATCTGAACCATAATCTTAAAAAGAGAACTTTGGTTTGGGCAGCAAACTACAAGGCCCATATTATTATGCCACCGTGTCTAGGTAGTACTGTCTATTTCCATTCGCAAGAAGATTTCTCTTCTTGAAAAAAAGAGGTGTGCATGCATATTTTATACTGGCTGTCTCGCCGTGATCTTTGGCCTGGCCATGATTGGGCAGCGGAACAGTGGAGGTGGCTCATCAATCCATCAGTACCAGCTCGCTCGTCACAAGAAAGTTACTCGCAGTGCACGCATGATTGAGCGATCACGCTGCAGTTGTCGGTCGAGAACAATGAATTTTAGAATCATCATCTTTCTTCTACTTCTTCTCGGTGAGAACCAATGCGCTACATGTATATGTATACGTATACACATACAAGTCTTTTAGATAATATTTTTTTTATTGATCCGACCTCTATATACATACATGTATATGTGTATAAGTTGGCACGTACCTACAGAGCTAGCCACCATGGTTGGTCCAATATGTACTAGTACTACTTGCCAATCATACATGGGATCGATCCCCGGGTACAGAGAAACACTGTGCAACGTTCGGACTTCAACGGCTTAGCCACTGTAGCGCATTGTTGTTGCGCCACCATTCGCCTACTCTACTTTTAGCTACTCCTTCACTGGCTGCCGGACCATGATGCGATCGATCGATCGATCCAACTGCACGACGAGACGTTGAAACTGTTATAAGTACCTGCTACAACAATATACTACTTTCGTCCCAAAATAAGTGCAGCCATGAGTTTCCGCGCCCAACTTTGATCGTTTGTTTTATTTAAAAAATTTTTATAATTAGCATTTTTGTTGTTATAAGATGATAAAACATGGATAGTACTTTACTCGTGACTTATGTCTTTAATTTTTTTCAAAAAAAATTAAAATAAGACGAATGGTCAAAGTTGAGCGCTGAAAACCATGGCTGCACTTATTTTGGGACGGAGGTAGTAAGAACCTAGAATCAGATGTGATATTTTTTATACTACAAATCCGAAAAAGTTGAAATGTCTCATCCAATTCTAGATTCGTACAGTATTTTGGAACAAATAGAACACTCCGTGAGTCCCATA